CCGCGCGCCCTCCTCCGCGCCCGCAGTCCGCGCGCGCCCGCCGGGCACGGGAGGAGGCGCGAGCCCAGCCCGGCAGCATCCGCAGCCCCGCGGGCCGCGAGGGCCGATGTCACCCCGGAGCGCGTGGCTGGAAGTCGCGGAGGAGCCCAGCGGTGCGGGAGGGGCGGGCGCGGCGGCCCTGACGGTGCTGTCTCTGTTCCCCCAGCCTTCTCGAAGGGCACGGACTCCAGCCCCGAACGCCGCAGCCAGGCCAGCAAGGGTCTCGGAGTCAAGGTGTGCCGGTTTGCCCTCCAACACCACGGTGTGACAAGAGCACCGAAGGACCCGCTTCGACAGGTCCCCGTTGGCTACATCAGCGCCGAGCAGCTTGTTAATGGGATGTGCTGGTGGTAACTTGTAGACGTGTGTAGTTTTGTTGCCCGGCACTCACTCAACTCTTGTGGCTACAACACGTTGTTTGTGTCGGAGGATCAAGCCACCATCTCCTAGAGTGTCTCTTCAGAAGACATGGGTCTCTCACTTGTTGGGGCTGGGCGGACCACTACGCGGGCCTGACTCCTAGGGGTGTAGCGGTATGTGGCTAAGTTGGTTACATAGACAAAAGATGCCATTTCAGGATGCGTTGGGGCCCTCCTGGTGGATTGTATTCCACTGGGCTCTGAATAATGAAGCCATTTAGAGCTTTACAGCTATTGCTCTGGGAGGCGGACCTGGGAGTTGGAGAAGAGACAAACCGGCGTGCACGCCAGAGCGCTCTGACCCCAGTTAGGAAGCACGTTCCACCTTGGGGTGTTTTCCATGAATCCATAAATTGACTTCTAGCTTAAGGTAGCTCTGGCTATATTTTCTGTCCATTACAAGTGAAAGGGACACAAATGACAGAGAAATAGAACATTTCGTATTGTTTCATATCTAAGAAGACGTTTGGTTGGCTCATGATGCCTTGAGTTGGGATTGCTTGTTTTCTGGTAGTGTTAATATTGTTTTTAGTAGTGGTGGTGTTAGTATTATTTGGTGCTGGGAATCCAACCCACTGTGTTAAGGAAGCATCCAACACGGAGCGGCATCCCCACCCTGACTTACTTTTTTATAAGTCAGAAAAGTAGTGTCTTTTTCTCACTTTATATGTGGAAGCAGATAGAGAAGTGAACCAAACAACTGCTTCTGGAGCCTACACAAGTGCCACGGTGGTAGAATCCTTCTGCCAGATGGCATGTGTCAGATTGGTTCCCCTAATTTTATTTTTTGTTGGCGTCTCCCTTGGGAGTCTTGCGCCTTCAAGAAAGTTAAGAAACGACATTATTGGTTTGTATATGCCTTTCTCTGGGGAGCCTGCTCCGCCTTTGCAGTACCCATAGGTTCACTAGTCATGGAAAAACACCAGCCACCAGCTCAGCAGGGAAAGGGGCTTGTCATCAAGTCTGACAACCTGAGTCTGCTCCCCAGAGCCCATGTGGTAGAAGGAGAGAACCCACTCCTGCAAGTTGTCATCTGACCTCCGCATGTTGCACCCCCCCACACACACAACAAAGGTAAAATCAAGACAAAAAAGAAACATCCGCTAAGTGGCTCTGCGAATGCAATAATATTGGGGGTGTAGGAGGCAGGGGAAGCAGGAACATTTTCCTTTCAGTTGTTTATAATGTATTGATATGGGGTAGCCACGTGTTCTACAAGATTTCAATGAATAGACAAGACTTAGTGATCCAAACAGCTCAGAATGTTTCAGAACTGAATGTGTAGGCAGGTTTAAGAATGCCATTCATGCCGGGCGTGGTGGCGCACACCTTTAATCCCAGCACTCAGAAGGCAGAGGCAGGTGGATCTCTGTGAGTTCAAGGCCAGCCTGGTCTCCATAGAGAATCCAGGCCAGCTGGGGCTACAGGGAGACCCTGTCTCAAAAAGGCCAAAAAAAAAAAAAAAAAAAAAGTCTCTTCTACAGAATAAAATAGTTAACATATTTATGGCTGTATTTTCTAATTTTCTTTGGTTAGTTGGGCCCAGAGGCATAATGAAATTTCTGTTAGCTCTGGAGAAAATGGTTGTTTTTCCCAGTTACTGATGCTTCCAGCCAACCAGTCGCAAGTGCAGATGGTTTAGGGATGAGCTGTCTTCAACAACACATTCAAATCTTACAGCTTTATGACAGATATTTACATCTGTGCACATGTGTAATAGCAGCTCGGTACATACCTGTGTTTCCTTCCTGCGCTACTTGCCTGGCAGAGATAAGGAAGGGATATGCTTGAGTGACAACATTGCCCCCATTAGCCTCTTTTTCTATCTTCTTGCAATAAGGGATTGGTGCAGGACATTAAGGCCAGGGAATAATATTTCCATTAGTAGATGGATGTTCCAGTTCAGCATATCACTCACTACAAGCAACAAAGAACCCGTGGCTTGGCCCACCTGAATCAGGGCCTCACACTGGGGACGCACCTCAAATTTAGTCATCTCCAAATGAGCTTATGCAATATGTTTAGTGTGATAAGCACATTGCATTCCCACTGATCCCTGGAGTAGCCACAGTTTTCATAACCACCTTTGCCCTGTCTGTTTCCTATTTATATAAATATTGAGTGAAGAGGAAAAGAAATATATTCATGCATTTAATGTTTTTTTTTGTGTGTGATACTTTCTTTGTCTTTTTATGAGCTATTTTATACTTTAGGGCATAGCACTCACCTTATAGTGATTTTATGAGTGTGATTAAGAATTGTGCTGAAAGGAATGAGAACTAAAATGGAGAACCAAAAGGCCTTAAGGTTGTGTTGAGAAACAAACACCAGTTATGTCGTGAAACATCTGTTTGCAATTACCCATGCTTGCTAAGGCGCCTGCAGTAATTTCTGTTGTTTAAGAATATCTTAACTCCTGCCATTAATATCTACTTCTGCAAACATGCCTCTTTAACCACAGAAGGAATTTCCCCTCAGTCGTCTTAGGCCATAAAAACATCCATGCTGGTAACCATGTAGACTATAATTCAAATCCACCAATGTTGTAACAGTTAAGGAATGATGTGGAGAAACCTATAACAACTGTAAGGAACTGTGGGCCAGGGCTTAGAACTACAGAGCACTAGCGTTTCTGTGTGCTGGATTGCATAAACATGAGTTCTCCAACTCTCCAAGAAGTGCTTGCTTCCTTCCTGAACACGATTTTCCACAAATATGAGCACCTCAAAAATGGAAGAGACTCAGGCATCTTCTGAGAATCTCTGGTCTCGATTATATGAAGTATTTCATTTTTATCAGAGCCCAGCTTCAAAAGCAAAAAGAAACATCTATAAATTTAAAAAAAACTATGGAAATGATTTAAACGAAAAGCAAAAAGAACAGTGAACTTTTGTATATTGAAAGACTTAATCCTTGTAGTTAGCCACTCTGACAAAAGACATCTGATAGTAACTCATGGTGATGTAGCGATTTAATAAAATGCCTTATATAAGTTAAAAATTATAAATTTTGATGGGATTTTGTTTCTCATCTAAATGCTTCTATGTGGATGGTTTTGATCATAGGAGGATTTGAAGAAACTCATTTCAATTTCTCAATGTCTAAATTAAAGCCATATGTTATTCTATTATGACAAGCTTAAAATGCAAATATATATACATATTATGTGATGTGACACATTATTTTTTATCTGAAGTGGCTAATAAGCATGAGTATCACAATTTCTTTTAAAGTCTTCACTTTAGACTTGTAACAATTCAATAAATCTGCTTAAGAGAATGGGATGAAGACTTAAGAGAAATTTTGTTGTTTCTAGCAACTTCTGACTCAGCTTAAGGAAATAGACCCCAGCTTTCTCGAAGTGGAGTGAGGTCTCACTTTTAAGAAACAGCAGTTTGTTGCTCATTCAGGGGTAGATTGGTGGTAAGCCTCAGTGTCACCTCGAGGCTGATTCAGTCACAGGTTGTTGTGCTCCACCCTGTGTTTTTGATTCAGATCAGGGTGGGGCTGAGAATTAACTTTTTAACAAGCACCCAGATGACACAGATGCAGTGGTCCAGAGTTCAAGAAGAGCTGGATTAGAGAATTCTTGAGGGCACAGAATATTATTGTTATATGATTTTTATACATTTCATGGCTAAACACTTATAACTATAAAAACTATTTGGTTTGCAAAGTTCTCCATTCATTTCTTAGCCTCAATAAATATACAACAAACTCAGTATTGTAATTGGTTTGTACATAATCAGTTATATAAACAAGGACCTGTTTAAAATTATGAGGCCTTTATCACAATAAAAAATAGACTTGAAAACAGAAAAAGTTCTCACCCTGTGCGTCTCAAGCACAGTGCCTGGTACATCAACAGTCATCAACTCACAGTAAGGAGAAAAAGAAATTATTGCGTCTCATAGGT